AAATCCAGAACTATTTCAGATCGACCGTCGGCGCCGTGTATGACGTTGGAGATAAAGGCAGACAAAGCGGAGCTACGACAAGCAGAGAGGAGATGGCGGGCACAAGGACTCACCGTGCACAGGGACATCTATAGACAACTTCACAGAAAAGTCGAAGAACTCATAGTCATAGTGAAACGTTCCTTTTACAATAACATTATATCAAAGTCAAAAACTTCTAAAAGTGTCTTTCGCCCGCTTCATTCACTTTGTAAAAAATTCAAATCTGCCCTTATTCTTTGTACTTCTCCCACAGGAGAGCTAGCAAATATCTTTGGAACATTCTTGGCGAACAAAATTGCTACAATAAGAGACACATTGGATAAACACGGTTAATCTACTCATAAATTCGAGGATTTCCTTGGGAACCTCCAATGTAATTTTAACAATTTAAAGCTGTCTCACAGGACTCAGTGAAAGAGATCATAAAAATTAATGTCATCACCACCGAAGTCCTGCTGCCTTGACCCTATCCCGACATCTTTATTTGTCAACCTTCTTGACGTTGTTATTGATGTTGTAACAGCTATTATTAATGATTCACCCCTTTCAGGAACAGTGCCTTCGTGTTTTAAGCACACAGTCGTAACACCTTTACTACATGAACAGTCGTTATCCCCGCATGAGTTTAAGAACTATAGGCCGGTCTCTAACCTACCATTTTTGTCTAAAATCTTACAAAAAGTTGTTCAATCTCAATTAAGAGCACATCTTGAAGAAAATAATCTTTTAGAATGTTATCAGTCGGCCTACAGAGCGTTTCATAACACAGAGACTGCACTTTTAAAAGTCCAGAATGACCTTCTTTGTGAAGCAGACGAAGGCAAAGTGTCTGTTCTTGCCTTACTCGATCTAAGTGCTGCATTTGATACCATCGATCATTAAATTTTGATCAGGAGGTTAGGCTATAGCTTTGGCCTATCTGGGACTATTCTTGAACGGTTTGAGTCCTATTTGTTTAATCGTACACTGTCTGTACTTGTAAACGGTGAAATGTCATCCATTTTCAGCTTGCAATTTGGCGTGCCCCAAGGGTCCGTGCTCGGACCACTCTTATACCCGGTACACACTATATACAAAGCCCTTAGGTTCAATTATAATTAGGAAGCACAACGTTAACTACCGCATGTACGCGGACGACACTCAGCTGTACAAGTCTGTTTTACCAACAAATTTCACTTGTCTAGTTACCAGCATGGAAAAATGTATTGTTGAGGTAAAAAATTGGATGATATCAAACAGACTTAAAATGAATGATGATAAGACCGAAGTTCTGTTTTGCAATGCCCAACCAGGGATGTTGCTTTGCAATGCAATTTTGACCATATGTAATGGGAACGATAATATCTTTTTTTTTACAGATAAAGCCAAAAATCTAGGCGTTTATTTTGACTGCAAACTATCTAAGCATCATCATATAAACCATCTATGTAAAGTAATTTATTTAGAGCTACGCAGAATAGGACAAATGTCAATATATCTTAAAGTTGATTCCATCAAAACCCTCACCTCTTCTTTTGTCCTTTCACGTCTAGACTACTGCAATTCTTTGTTTAAAAATCTTTCCACTGAAACGTTAAATAGGTTACAGCGACACCAAAACCAAGCTGCTCATACCCATATACTTTTAAAGAAATCTCTCAAAGAGCATATTATAACACCAATGCTAATTCAACTACATTGGCTCCCTGTGAAAGCACGAATTCAGTACAAAATAATTGTTCTTTGTTTGAAGTGCGTCAACAACATTGCACCATCATATTTTTGTGACATGCTATTTTGTCATCGTTGATAAGGATGATTCAAGGCCGATGCATTAGGGGGGGATGTGAATCGGGCTCATTAGACGAAATTTACCTACAGTTTTAAGAAGCCAGTGAAATAAATTATGACAACCAAGGTCCCCTACTACATGTAGTAATAATGAAAAACGAAGTCACTGCAACGTTGAAGATTATACGATCTAATTGTCCAGTTGGAAGTTAAAGTGAACCAGCAGTCCATCCAGATGTTGCTCAACGCCACGGACTCCGGAGTGCAGTACAGGCCTTGCATTGTATTGCGTGCAGACAATGGTGACATCAGATCTCCCTCAGACAAACAACAAGTTCCATCACACGACGAGGCTCAAGCAGGCTGTTAGTCTCCTCTCAGGAAAGTTAATTATATTATCATACAACTTACCTTCAGCCATCAAGTAAGTCTGTTCTGCATGATGTCATCAAAAATTTACTCAGTCAGTGCAAGAAAATCCATACTTTTTGCTTTTATGGTTAGCGACAAGCCTAACGTACAAAATCATTGCTGAACTCAAGGAGGAAAACCACACTCTGTTCCAATTGGGGAAAGGTGGGGAAAGGGGGGGGGGGGGGCATTTCATTTTTAAAAATGGCATACGAATACGCTTCAAACTCTTTAAAGAAACTGGGTTGGCTGACTTTCGTGGTTGCAGCCTGAACTGTATACCAAGCATTCCTTGGGAAACATAATGGGAGATGGTGTCGGTTGTATTCTTTTGTTGAAGCAGTTCTTGTCCATGACAGATTCATCAGCTTCGGATGCAGAAATCTTTCAATGGAAAGGACAACCTAAATATTTCCAATGCATCCCAAGAACTCATATTGGTGGCTACAATGCAGCTTGGGAGACGGTTGGAAAAAAGGAACTTGCCAAGCAAGTGTATGAGCAGCCTGACACAGACATGGGAAAATTTTAGGTGTCAACTAGAAATGTCAGACTCGCTGGATCAAAATGTTCAAGCATGCCATCTGACAGACGCTGATGAGTGGCCAATGAAGCCAATATGACATCTGCATTCGATCAGGTTTATTACATATGGTTACCACAAATATCCCAAGCGGCTCACAGATTCACTTCTGATTGAAGGGACTCCTGAATTAATTTTTTTTCGTTCCCGCTATGCTCAGTCATGTCCGGCCAGCCTTATCCATGCATGGATTGCAAACTGCATAATAGGCAATGCAAACAAGTTCGCCCTAGTTTTCCTGCGACACCTCAATAATTGTCAATTTTGGATAGCCTGAATACTACAGCTTCCATTCACACTAGCAATAATGAAGGTAGCAAGTTTGTAAACTAAACTGATCAAGATAAAGATGAGAGTAAAGACTAAACAAGTTATTGTCCTTTAGAATAATGTTCTTTCTAACTATGTAAGATATCTTTAGAATGTCTAAACTGCACAATATCCACTAACGGTAATATTTTTAGTGGGTTGCATCGATTTTAAAATGTTGCTGAATCAAATCTACACAATGAATCCTGAACTGCAGTGTCATAGATCAATGGCCACAGGTTTGTATCTATGCAAAACGTAGACATGGCTCCTATTGTCATACTGCGGAGGATGTAAGTGAGTACATATTCGATGGGCGGCCAAACTAGATTTATACAGCTTGGAAAATATAAAAACTATGAGATCATTAAATGCCCTTACTTCGGGCACCTTAAATTGCTATTTGTGATACCAACGTTTTTCCCATCTTCAATACGGCTGATGGCAGCATTATTGGATTTTTTAAAATTTATATTTAACGAAAGGCTAAAAATGACACTAAAAATGAGCTTCTTGGCCTAAAAAACCCTAAAGTGATGTATCACACTTCATATGTGTTGAAAAAAGACCATGATTAATATATATGGATTTTTGCCATTTGGCAGCCATCTTAGCTTTCAAGACCTCATGGGTAACGCCCACATTTTAAAAAAAGGCATGGGGGCTAATTTTCTTACTTAGACCTTGAAGATGGTAAAACGTGTGAAAAACAAACTTCGGGAGCCAAATTACTTTTTACCCAACTATGAATTTGACTTTCCGAAAAATTTCCAAAGACATGACAGACAGAATGAAATTCACAACAACAAAAATAGAAGTTCAAAGTGTTTATTTTTTTAATTTGTTGGCATGTGTGAGCGTTTAGTGAAAATATAAAAGCTGGGCTATGCGTTGATGCAGACCCATACATGGAATTACATGAGACCTATAAGTGTGAGGCACGACGGTGTAGTTTCGTTGCGCTAACAACAGCACCACTACTAGTGCTAGATCTAGCCCTAAAACTTTGACTCGGGCCGTGTTTGGGTATACATCCAGGGTCCAAACTATCAGACACATCATATTTTTATTTGTAAGTCACTAGAACTAGTAAAACAAACAGAAGCATCAAAAACAGCAAAAATATGTGATTCTTGTTCATGCGACTTCTTCGACCGTTACTTCAATGTGACTGTCAACTGTATAGAAAAAACATAGCGCAAGTTCCGGTCAGTTGAACCTTAGATGGGGGGGGATTGTCCATCTTCCACCAAACTCCGCACGAAACGAGTCCGTTTTCGTACATGTGACGGGTGCACAATTTTCAAAACAAAACCGCAAAGTCCATTCCATCAGGGGTATGGGATCCGTACCAGCAAACCGGCCGCAGGTCCCGTACCATTGACGGGAACAGTATAGTGAGTTAATTTTTTGACCCGCTATCATCAAAGAAACTGTGTCAGAACCATAGTTTGCAGTGACCTTAATGAGTGGGCTTTTAGAATCTGTTGGCAATCAAACTTTTAGACCTGCATGCAAAGATCTGAACAAAGCGATTTCATTTTACCTTGTTTTAACTGTAGTCAGACGAAAATAGTAGAAATACAGAGGTAAATATGCAACCCACACAGATACGGCTTTGGTGGTGACCAGCCATTCTCAATTGACTGACACAGGTGCGACCTTGGCGGTGAGTGAGTTAAGCTGCCCTTTCTCAGGACCGTAAAGCAAAGCACAATCTTGATGAGGATCGACTAGCACAGATGAGTTGGTAACATTAATGGAGTGAAATTATGCATAAATGTGACTTAAAGTTATTGCAATTTGTAAAGTATTTTCATGAATGCTGCAGCAACACCAAACTTCCTACCAGGAAAATTTATAGTAGTTTTTTTTTCCATTTCTCTTTTCAGAGAAAGGAAGTTTTAAATGCAAAATTTGTTCTAAAAAAGAATGGCCCAGTCTCCCCGATAATATAGTTATTTATGTAAAAACAACAACCCAACAACATAAAGCCTGCTCCTAGTGTTGGGTTCACAAGAGTTTTTCTCCATAGATTTCAGAATGCAGCTGTCCTGGTTCATGTGAAGGGCTATAGGGGAGCATCAGTTTGAAACGACACAGAAATCACATGATCTGCACGCGCGGGTCCCTGGGAAAACTGACGTTCATCACTCCTGCTTGTGCCAAGATGTCATTGAGGGGACAGTGGTCGGCCGACTCCTGGTCAATGTGGCTGAAGTGAACTTCGTTTCCTGAAGATGAAAATCAACAGTGTTGGGCTCAAATGGGTCAACTACAAACATTTCTAAAACCTGATTTTTGTTTATGTTGTAAATCAAAGTCAAACAGATCATAGATCATCTCAATAAATTAAGTAAAAATTCAACAAAAAGAAACGCATGAAAATTTGACTTAAAATATGAGCTGAGTCTTTGATTGTTTAATTAGAACAGAGGTTTTCACCCTCTCTCATAATATAGGCTTCTTGGGAGCAGGCCCATCTGTGTCTGGCACCATAGTAATCTTCAACCTACCCTACCCACATAACTGGTTTCCTGAAAAAAAATTAACAGGAAAAATACCTTTCTGATTGAAACGAGAAGACATGTAATTTAGCCCACAGTTATTTTTATACTACCACACATCAACTTCGCAATAATGGCTTAGATTTTTTAAAAAGTAGACTTTTTTCTTTCAGTTTTTTAAAAAACATAGTAAGAGTGTGCTTGGTGACTGGAAGTATGGTCTCCCGTCCCCATTAACACAATTTAGACCATTCAGGAGGCCGGCTGCTTTGACCTTGTACTTAATTATCACGGCTAACCTGGGTAGTATGGGGGTGCAGTACTCCAGCAGAAAGATTGAATATGCGCAAAATTATCTTTGACCACAAGCAAATTAAATTTACATTGTCCAAATGCAAGACAATTACAAATTTAAGCAAAGATGCTGGTGAAATATATTGCACTTTTATACTTTAGTTAATCAAAATTAAAGACAAATATGGCATGAATATAACTCATCATTTAAAGCAGTGAGGCTGCTTGTGAGTAAGGGTCTCAAAGAACCTTTATCTTCCACTACTAGCCCCCTAAAAAGGGTGGACAGCAATCAACCGAAATGAAGAAAAAAAAAAAGCCCCACTCCAAGTTTGGCAAGTCCTGGGTTCAGAGAAGAACACTGATGTTTTGATGGTCATTTATGCAGAAGAAAAGTGAAACAGGAAGCATACATAACAAAGGAAATAAAAACAAGTAAATTGGTCAGTATGGCTGAAGTGAACTTCATTCCCCGAGAGATGAAAATCGATTGTGTTAGGTACAAATGTGTCAACTACATTTCTAAAGCCTAATTAATGTTTATGTTGTAAATCAAGGTCAAACAGATAATCTCTGTACTGTAAATTAAAGTAAAAATTCAACAAATAGACACACATGAAATATTGCTTACAAGAAAGAGAAAACTGTAGCATTTAAACGTTTTGAATTTAACCATGCCATTTTAAAACATTTTGTTGCAATGCCAGGGCTGTCCATCCACCAACATAGGTTTTAATTATCAGCAAATAAAAAGTTAGAAATCTAGCTTGACAAATTGTAATGTGGTCATGGAGTCTTCTTCTAAGCAAAAAAAAAATTTTTTTTCTAGAATAAAACCCCCCCAACCCAACAACTTTTTCTATCGAACCTTAGGTTTCAGAAAAAAAAAAGAAAAGATGAAATTAATAATACAATGCCCAAATAAGTGTTCAAATTACGTCAAATTCTAAATAAAAAGTAACAGCATTTGAGCAGACAATGAAATCAACATGGGAGGAGGTGCTATTTTTCTTTTCTTTTCTTCAGGTACTTAATACTTTGAGTCATAATCTCCTGAGGCTACCATGCTCCGCTGCCTCAGCTCCTGAGGGATTTATTATTACATGTACCAGTACTAACATTCATGTGATCGTCAGAATCACATTTCATATGGCACTCAGGGTAGTCCTTGACATTAACAGCATCTAATTCAGAAAGATCTTCAAAATAATCAAAAATCTAATGTAGTAAATGCTGTTTTCAGTACCAGGTTTTACTCAAGCAGGCCGGTTTGGGGATGGGGTCTCACTCACCGGTGTACCGGTGGCAAAGGCTCAAAGGGCTAAAATCCAGTGCCCAGGTGCTTGGAAAAATGCTTACAAGAAAGAGAAAACTGCAGCATTTAATGTATTTAACCAAGCCATATTTCTAGATTTTGTGTCAAAATTGGAAATAAAAATGTGCTCATGTTGTGCAGCATTAATTCATCTTTCAGATTCATTAATAAGAATGAGGTTAAAATGATTTTAAAATAATTTATGGGGTATAGAAGTGGACATGCAAAACGCAAAGATCCAGACAGGTGAGAGCAAAACATTTGTGTCACAACACGGTAGAATCAGGCGCTCATCAATTTTTGGGCATCTAGAGTTATTGGTATCATCTAAAAGCTTGTTCATTGACCATCTTTTGATGAAAAAAACTACACGCCTATCTTGAATAGAAGTCGAGATATATTGCGATTGAAGGAAGTTGGGGTTGGCTGGTTTTAGAGGTAAAATTATAGAGAATATGGCCACCAAAGTTTGGTGATTTTCAAAGCTTGAGAGTCCTTAGAAACTGAAAATTTACGTTTATTGTGCCTTTAATTAATGTTTTTCAGTAAAATCCACACAGAAATCATAAGTTCTTAAATGGACATAAAAGTTGTCGAGCCAAAAAACATAAAAGAGAAAAGTTGTCAAATTCGAGGAAAAATGCCAATATTTGATTACATTATTTTGACGAGCGCCTGATTCCACCACGATGCCTCACACTTTTTTAACAATTATTTCTTTTAGTCCTGAAACATAGGAGTTCATTGCATAAATACCTGTTCTACTTTCCAAATTCAATGTTTTTCTCTGTTTACAAGCGTGATCCCAATGAAAAATTTTTCTGAAGCTTTGAAGCTGTGATTTTTCAATTAAATTGAATTTTTAATACTTTTATCGAAAAAAACCCACGTTCTAGGCAAGGATGCAGCATCCTTGCATGTATCAATCTGTCATGATTACGATCCAGTAGAAAGCTGCAGGATGGTGGACTACCAAATGCACATTTTCACGGTCTCGAGGTGTCAACATGGCAAATGGTGCATTGGAAAAGCACATGCTACAGGAGGAAGTGTTGATTTTGTCTCAAATTGACGCCAATTTTCTCTTGGAAAGTGTGTCAGTTTAATGCTGGACACAACTCCTCATTTTAGTATTATAAGTGAGAACCTTTCTCTTTCCTTACCTGGGCCAATGATGAAAGCAGCTCCTTGCTGCTTTGGGTCACCCTGAAACTCCTTCACAGGGGATGTCATAGCTCTCCACACACTAGAAGCCACACCTGAGACAAAGCCTGACTTGATGTGCTTGCTGTCTGTACAGAAAGAGAATGTTAATAACTTAGGTGAGGTTTTAGTTTTTAGTTTTAGTAGAGGTTCTACTGCGCTTGCAACTGCATAAGGTAATAATATGTGCGCCAAGGGGTGGATGTCAATAGAGAAGTCCTTACAGGGAATCAGGTTTTCTCTGCTCACCTCTCTAGCTTCAACAGCACAAAGTCTGCTACGACTATGAAGGCACCCCGGAAATAGCGGGTCACAAGAGTGTGACAAACATTCAAAAGAAGTAGAGGAAAATGACAACAGTAAGGATTAGGAAAGAAAAAGCAGCAGTTTCCTGTTGTAGTTCAGGCTCAGTTATGAGCATGACATTGTTGGATCTGCCCATTTACAATTCTACTGTGCATTAGAACGAGAAATGTCCCCCCTTTGGGAATGGCCTAAAGACACTTCAGTCAGTGGCACCACCCCGAGGGATGGTGAGGTTTGGCAGGGAGAACAGTGGCTGAACGGAAGGGCAGTGGGCAAAACTGGAAGAACTGAATTTACACACATGACTGCTCCCAACTCAAAAGATGTACTTAATTCCACGAGTAGAAGAGAACGAGTCATTAAAAGTTGTCTCTGAACACAACACATCCCACTGCATTGAATTCCTACATGAACAAGGTCTGTAAGGATACCCCACCTGCCTGCCCCCTGTGTGACCGCCAGGATGAAACGTACACTATCTCTCTACCTGCCCTGCATTTAGCAATCTGCATAGTACCTACCAACCTGCCTCCCCAGATCTCAGAAACAATATATATATATATAGACAGCAACAAAAGGCAGCTAATAAAAACCTGTAAATTCTTTGCCATATTGACTGGCCAAAGGGCTAGAACTCAGACTGCCACTGGCTCAGAAAAGTGAAACGGTGACAGCCTGAATACTGAATAAGCAAAGAAACAGGATCGAAAGAGGGCTCTTTTATGAATTTAACTCTTTACTAGACTTACTTAGGTACTTCGATGGTGTGCGACTTGGTGTAGTCGAGAGAGTGAAGAAATAGGTAGGAAATATGACAGAGAAAACACTACAGGAAATATACGTACATGACGTATTGCACCGGAGTATAAATGTATAGATATATTCCGTGTTTTTTCCACCATGAGATGGGTTGTACCTCCTACCAGTGTGCAATACGTCTGCTAATTATATCACTGAGAAGAAAATACCTAATCTACCACATTTCTTTAGCTATGCTTGATTTCAAACTCAAGTTAAAACACTAGAGTGTCTGGAGAGGCCAGTTTAAGAGGACTGGTCCCCCCCAAATCAGATGAAGTCATGAGGAAAGACGTAGTCCATCTTGCATTCAACCTCCCTCCTCAAAACCTCCTCACATCATGCAAATTGTAGCCACAATGCAGCAATTGTAAGAGCTAGGGTAAAGTTGAATTGTTTGAAGATAAAGGCTACTCATGAAAAAAAAATCAATGCTCAATGTTACAGTCACAGTTGACAATCTGCTAAAGTGGACAGACCACTCCACAACAAGGTACCAATAATATAATCTTTTAAAGAATATTAAACCGAAAAGATTAACAGAGAAGACACTCTTGGAGAAGACCTAACGTTTTTAAGGCCATCTGCGGGAGGTTTTCCCCATGTTTACCCAGTTTGACCATGCATTTTCCCATCCATTTTTGAAACCTACATCCCTTTTCCTTCAAAGTTTCAAGCACCTGCTTCAATCAATTATATCTAGAAGTCATCAAAAAATGGGTTAAAAAAGAAATAATTTACAATTTTGGGTCATGCTTTAAAATATTTTCTTCATTAAAATTTTTTTTTTTTCCACTTTAAATTATATCTGATTCTCCTTTACTTTTAATGTGAATGGCTTCATTTTTTTTTTTTAACACAATATACATAGCCACAGATAACCTTGACTGAAATGGAGCCTTTTTTGAAGATAATCAGAAAATAAAAATGCAATCAGTGTTTTTGTTGGAAAGTTCAAGTTTTTTTTCTATTTGTCAATAGTACATATGTCAGAGTCCATAATTTTTATAATCATAATATTACAGATCTGGCATTATTTGTTCATTACATACATGTGTTGTAGTTTGTACTGGCAAAAAATGAAAGCCAACGAAAGAAAACCAAGAGAGAAGATAGCTTTTGAAATTTTATGAAATTATCCAATCTAGCGGATGTTTGCTAAGTTGCAATGTCCTTGTTATAATAAATAATTACTTGAATTTATTCTTTAATGTGTGATTAATATAAATATCATCGTTGCTATATAATTCAGTCAAGGGATATATAGATTTTAGAAATTTCACCAGCAGAGAATATAATCCCCTGCTGGCCACAGAATAAATCAATCAGAAGCTCAAGCAAATGGAAAATAAAGTGATAAGAGTAAGAGTATTTTGTGTAGAAAATTTTGGCCAGAATGTAGAAACCGGGTAAGGTCAAGGTTGAATTGCCTGTCCGCTTCACACCCAGTGATTTTGCACGCGCAAAGTTTGAGCCCGAAAAGCCACGGGAGGCTATTCAGACTCGAGTCCGAATATCTGCCGCCATTTACTTCACCCGGCCTAATCACGGTGTTGTGAACTGTTCTGAAAATAAGACAATATGAATGATTACACATTGTCTATCAAGAAATCAGGTGCTCGTCAAAATTTATAGTGAGTGCTTATTTAGGCCACATATGGCATATATTAAAAGCTAACTCCTCCGCCCCCTCCCCCCACTAACAGTATTTAGGCCACATATAGCTTAAACTACCCTTTTCATGCAAATGAGTTCGTTCAGCTTTCGCAGTGGTGCACCTTTCTCATTTAGTCCAGTTTTGTCTTGTGTATAACTTAACAATTATAACATAATGAAAATTATAAGAACATCGCACAATACGTGAAATTTTGCTCAATCTCATTGGTTTGAATGAGAGGCAGAATTTTTCCTTCATGGAGGGGCAAAAGATAGGCTACCATTTTGGCACACTTTGGTCAAGTAAAAATGTCAAATCTTTCGAATAGACTTCAAGGCCATATTTGGTGTGTATGAAAAGCGTCTACACAACGTACGCCCCGTACTCTAAGAAAGGTATCAAATAAAAGGGGGGAGGTATAGGAAAAATTAAGAGGAGGGGAGTGAGCAAATAATCCAAAATTAATAAACGAGGGGGGGGGGCACATTCAACCTCATACCCCTGTACTAAAAGGAACAAGTCTGTTTTATTTCTCCTTCAGTGAATAAAATAACAAATTAAGAGATCATGACATTTTTTGTGATTTTAGTAAGTTGCTATGAGAATTTTTCCCCATTCAGGAACAGACCAGTTTCTTTAAAAAATATAAACCAATGTACAAAAGTTTTTAAAATGTACACAAAATTGACGTAGCCAACCTGGTATCAATACTGAGCGTAATTTGCCAATTACAAAAAAAAAAAAGAAGTTTCATTCAGATATCTAGATTCTAAATAAAATGTTTCACATGATTGTCGGACATGGCAAGTGGCAAAATAATAAATGGGGAGATTGAATAAGGAGCAGGGGGTGCGCAAAAAACCTGAAAAT